TTGCTGTACCTTATAACGCTCCATCTGATACCTTTGTCAGGATAATAACTAGTAACCCTACTATATCTGAACCATATAACGCTCCAGCTGATACCTTTGTCAGGATAATGACCCTAATATTGCTCTACCTAATAACGGTCCAGCTGATATCTTTGTCAAGCTAGTAACCCTGATATTGCTGTACCATATAATGCTCCAGTTTATTCCTTTGTCAATCTAATAACCCTAATATGAATGTACCCTATAACGCTCAAGTTGATACCTTTGTCAGGCTAGTAACCCTACTATATCTGAACCATATAACGCTCCAGTTGATACCTTTGTCAGGATAATAACCCTAATATTGCTCTACCTAATAACGCTCCAGCTGATATCTTTGTCAAGGTAGTAACCTTAATATGTATGTACCCTATAACGCTCCATATGATACCTTTGTCAAGCTAGTAACCCTACTATATCTGTACCTTATAATGCTCTAGCCGATACCTTTGTCAAGCTAGTAACCCTAATATTGCTTTACCTTATAACACCCAAGCTGATACCTCTGTCAAGCTTGCAACCCTAGTATTGCTTTCCCTTATAACGCTCCATCTGACACCTTTGTCAAGCTAGTAACCCTAATATTGCATTACCTTATAACACCCAAGCTGACACCTTTGTCAAGCTTGCAACCCTAGTATTGCTTTCCCTTATAACGCTCCATCTGACACCTTTGTCAAGCTAGTAACCCTAATATTGCTTTACCTTATAACCCCCAAGCTGATACCTTTGTCAAGCTTGCAACCCTAGTATTGCTTTCCCTTATAACGCTCCATCTGATACCTTTGTCAAGCTAGTAACCCTAATATTTATGTACCTTATAACGCTTCAGTTGATACCTTTGTCAAGCTAGTAATCCTAATATTGCTTTACCTTATAACGCCCCAGATGATACCTTTGTCAAGCTAGCAACCCTAATATTTATGTACATTATAACGCTTCAGCTGATACCTTTGTCAAGCTAGTAAAACTAATATTTATGTACCGTATAACGCTCAAGCTATTACCTTTACCTTTGTCAAGCTAGCAACCCTAATATTTATGTACATTATAACATTCCAGCTGATTCCATTGTCAAGCTAATAACCCTAATATTTATGTACCCTATAACGCTCCATATGATACCTTTGTCAAGCTAGTAACCCTAATATCTATGTACCTTATAACGCTCCATCTGATACCTTTGTCAAGCTAGTAACCCTAATATTGCTCTACCTTATAACGCTCCAGTTGATACCTTTGTCAAGCTAGTAACCCTTATATTTATGTACCTTATAACGCTTCAGTTGATACCTTTGTGAAGCGAGTAACCCTAATATTGCTCTACCTTATAACGTTCCAACTGATACCTGTCAAGTTCAGGGCCATAATGAGTATATGCATTATATCGCTACAAATCCTTCGTTTGTCAATTTAAAACCCTAATAATTTTACACATCATCACACTACTTTAGAAAAAGGTATCCTTCTTATTTTCGTGTCGTTATTTCCGTATTGTGTATCGGGCATTTCAATGCCGTAGTGTAAATTAAAGTAAATTGTACACGTGCGCGACGATGATGTGTCAACAACCGATGTCGAGACTTGAAAATGTGTAATCACATATATTTCAGAAATAAAACTTCTGATACAAAGACATACACTGACTCACGGGAAAATACTGACATAAGTCCAGACGACTTTAAGAAGGTCATATTTGAAAAGCGCATGGACTGCGGACTGACGTGTTTTGTGTACCGACCTAACCTGTTTATATCACGAGCTTACACCAGTTCACAAGCTGAAGGTCGTTGCGATTATTGCTGCCGAGCGAGTTACGATCTGTCGAGTAAATCAGTTTTACAAATGTAGTCCACTTACTCTGTGAAAACAGTTTTTTTTTTTATAAAATATCAAGATTGATCCAATGAAATGCATGTGCGGGTGCACGTGAGAACAGATGTACATTACATGTGAGTATAGCATGCGCTAGCGGGCGGCGGAGTGATGTTCAAAGTGTATATCATTAAGAGTAATTTGGTTCCATAAAAGAACAATAAGTTCACAATTGTCATATCATAACTTTAATTTATGTCCATCATTTCTGATACAACTGTCATTGTGTAAATTGCATCCCTCTGCAAAAAGTCTCGCATTGTTTTCAAAGAAGACAACTCTCATCAGGATGTAAGTGATCGTAAAATGCAAAAATAAAGCATGTATGCATATTTTGTTCAATTTGTCACTCCTTTTGTATGAAAACATGTGTCCTGTTTGCTTTTAGCTTTCGCTTTCATCCATACAGTTCCATTAAAAAACACTTTGTATAACGTGTTTTATATCTTTTGTAATAAATAAAATATGTGTAGGGTTAATAAGCAATACTTCTTTTCACTTTTTTATTGTTGTTATTGTTCCGAACAATGCCACATCAAAACAAAATGGAAAATATCAAAATTGACGAGAGGTCAATTTTTGTCTTGCCGTCACGAAGAATCGGAAGCGAGACTAAGGTGTTGCTTTCCCGATATGAAGTTTTTGCGTTTAAGTTAGTGTCACTGAAAATAAAAATGCTAGACCAAACAAACTTGGGCCATCTTAGGTAGTACATCTCCAACCATGCATCAAATGCTAGATGCTGCCTACCTTTCATGGTCCATTGACTTATCAACATTAAGTTTTTGCGTTTAAGTTATTTATTTGAAACTATTAGTGTTACACCAACCAAACTTGAAATGTGCATTGAAGGTCAAAGCGGGGCACAGGCGAGACATCAATCCGAATAGGTTGTTAAATATTTTTTTCCAAACATATCTCAAGTCTATGGGAAAGCAAAACCATCTCTTTAAAATTACATAACCATTAAGTGAAAGTTTTAACGAATTCTGCTGGTTAATTACGAAAGGGTCGATCCTCCTTAAGGACCGAAACATTTCTATTCATAATAACGCTACAACTGATATCCGTTGTCAGACCGAACACTCGTGATCTAGTGCACGTTTGTAGCGTACTGGATGATGTTCGGGGTGATCGTACAATGGGTCACTACGTCACTCCATCACATGGCCACTGTATACACACATGGGGGTATGTAACAGTCGCAAGATTATAGGGACGCCCAGGATGGCACTGCAGTCAACAAACATCATGTAATCAATCAAGACACCGCTCTTTATCATATGTATGTGTTATTGAATAGTCGCCTAGATATTATCAATAAATATAAAAACATTATATGTAGCGCGTACATTCTAAATAGTGAAAATATTAGTGCCAACACACATGGGCAAATCGTATCTAAAGCAGGATGCTCAGAGTTTACTTAAATTAATTAGCAAGTGTCTATGTATGTATGCCTGTTAATTATGTTTGTTATATATGTATGTCAAGTATGAATGAATGCATGCATGTTTGTGTGTTTGTGTAGACATGTAACTGTATTACTATGTATTTGTATTACGATAAATTTGTTTTTCAATGTAAAATGTTTATGTTTTGTCTGTGAATAAAAGAAAAGTAATTGAGAAGACAGGAATAACAACCCTTACTGTCCCATACTGAGATCGTGATAGCTAGAACACTGATGTCTCCATAACAACAATTCAGTTTTAAAAAGTTCGTCAAAATACAACAAATACATTCGTATCTTTAGACATGGCTATTTATATATAAGTTTCAGATTATATAAAAATATTTGCTCATCAAAATGGTGATCTTGACCTATACGATGTAGGTAATGCCGAGATAGAAAATGTTTTTACAAAAACAAGGTTATATTTTAAGTATTCTTCACACTCCTAAAGTTAGATAAATCAATATGGCAAAATCGAAAAACAACATCAAAAACAAAACAAAACAACCAAAACAAAAATCCCAACCTTTTATATCAATCTAGCTTAAAAACATGTGTACACTGATATAATTACCAACTACAATGCTGAAAATCAACAAAATAATACGCCATGTATGCACGGAAATCCAAGCCTGTTCCATCAGACCAACCTGAAATATATTTTCTAAAACATAAATAAACTTCCGGATATTCATTTTCTTTCTCTCAGTATCAGTACTGATCAATTAATAATGTTAAGATTAAGGCAAGCACAGATCTTTTATAGTTATATTGAAGTGTTGAAAACGATCCTAAAAACCCATTTGTTTTTTATAAAAAAAAATAAAAAAAATATAGACAAACATACATGTGTATATTGACTATTACAAAAGATATCAATATAATTATATTTATAATATTTTTTACATGTATACAGTTATACAGCGCGAGACATAAAATATATATAAATAAAAAATAAAAAAATAAAATTCGAAAAGAGAATACCGAAGTGCTAACAGAACCGTGATTTGATCTCTAAAGTAATAAACGTATAGTGAAAGTGAACAAGTGGAGGAGCACGTGACACAGCGTCCTCAGCTTAATCTACGACATCCGTCCAATTAAATCTAGGTCAAATCCAAGTTATTCCATAAGATAATATCACAATCGTGACCAAAAAGCTTGCACATTTTTCTTCAACCTGCAGATACTAAAACCCTATATATGCTACAGTTTATGCATTCAAAATGAAATTGGCCAACAATTTGCAACCACTTTCAGTTTATCATTTGTTTTTGTAAATTTGCATTGTGTATTTCAGGCCATTAACAACACTAGTTTCCTCCAAACTTAATCATTGACATTCAGAAATATTAAAGGTCATACCATAATCCAAGAGACCTTCAATGACTCTATACGTACATGTTCATGGTTTTATCAATGAATTTTTATTATGGAAAATGACGATATTTTGTTTTCGACTCCTGTTTCTGTTTTCATTCCATTCATTTTTATTTTTATTTTTTTTCATCACGAGACATCAACAGTGTCGTCACCAGTGTTATTCGTGAACCACGTACTTTGTAGCGTGCGTCACCAACTCCCGTTCAAGGTCTAGGTCATCAAACATCTCGATATAAAACCTCTGTTGCATCAGTCGAATCGTAGAAGACCACATTTACAAAGCACCATCATGTCAGGACTACAAAGTATTGACGTATTCTGTCTAGTAATACTGTGTATTAGCGTAACGACATCTGCCCCAGTAGAAAGGATCCATCTGGAGAAACTGTCCACTATTTACCTGCCCCATTCTTACGTCGACGGCGTCCCACAGTACAAATACAACTCTCTGGCGGCCACCCAGTCGGCGTACGACGCTAGGCAACACGTGGTTTACGTCATAGGTAAGATTGTATAGTTGTTAGTTTCTGCCAATTAAGAACTTCCTATCGTGGACACTTTCGTTCTGTGTACGTGATTCAGAAATTAATGATAATAGAGGTAGACTTATAAATACTTTTATATCCAATAAAACAGTAACAGCTATAATGTTTTTAGACACTTTAGACACGGACTTAACAATCGTTTGAGCCTGTCTACCACCGAAGCAGGGGCGGGTCCAGGTGAGGGCGTAATGGGCGCTCTTTTCAAAAAGAAATTAAAAATATCGTAATCTGCTAATATTGTATTGAATATGGCAATTTATCATATTCATTAATTAAACACATAAACACTCTGACACTTTCACTATAAAATATACATACTCCAAGTCAGGAACCGTTACATTAGTGCATTTCACAATTATTTTATGTTTTTTAGCAAAAGAAAGGTCCAAAAAAAGTTTTGATTCTACGCCCCCTCTTTCAAATATCCTAGGAACGCCCCTGCGAAGAGTCTTTAAATGACAAAATGCCCGTATGATGAAGACAACAATTACTGTTTGGCTTTCTGCTTCTTCATTTCTTTTAGTGATAAACATATACCACCCATACTAGATATAACTCCTGTTTTGTATGTACTAATATATATGTTGTTCGATGGTTTAAATGAAATATTAGTTAGAGAGTAAACGCTTTTAACATCTATTTTCATTCTGTTGATTTCCAGTAGTAGTGCTGTGTCATAAATAGACAAACGTGGCGAAGAGTTGTAATTCTATTTTTGTTTTCTGCATCGATATCCTTAAATACATGTTCATGACTCATATTTTTTCACGTGGGTTTTCTCCGGGTTCTCCGGTTTCCTCCCACACTAAGACCCCCCTCGCGCTAACATCCGGGCCATCAAGAGTGATTAATATAAGCTGAAATAATTTGTTTCGTAATTATTGTAAATTGAATAAAATTAATATTTAAAACTCATATTTCAAGTTGTTACAGTAAAATCCACATGTATAATGCAATGCATCTGTGTTTAAGATAATATTTGTGTTTCACGTAATACCCATATATACGTGTTTTATATTTCACTCCCGTGTCTTGTATACCACTTACATTTTGTATGTGTTTATATAACACCCATATTGCTGTATATCACTTGTGTGTTTATATAACACCCATATTGTTGTATATCACTTATGTGTTTATATAGCACCCCAAGTGTTGTATATCACTTATGTGTTTATATAACACCCATATTGCTGTATATCACTTATGGGTTTATATAACACCCATATTGATTTATATCACTTATGTGTTTATATACCACCCATATTGCTGTATATCACTTGTGTGTTTATATAACACCCGTATTGTTGTATAACAGTTATGTGTTTATATAGCACCCATAGTGTTGTCTATTACGTATGTGTTTATATAGCACCCATAGTGTTGTATATTACGTATGTGTTTATATAGTACCCATAGTGTTGTATTTCACTTATGTGTTTATATAACACCCATATGGCTGTATATCACTTATGTGTTTATAAAACACCCATATTGCTGTATATCAGTTATGTGTTTATATAGCACCCATAGTGTTCCATATCACTTATGTGTTTATATAGCCCCCATAGTGTTGTATATTACGTATGTGTTTATATAGCACCCATAGTGTTGCATATCACTTATGTGTTTATATAGCACTCATAGTGTTGTATATTACGTATGTGTTTATATAGTACCCATAGTGTTGTATTTCACTTATGTGTTTATATAACACCCATATTGATGTATATCACCTATGTGTTTATATAGCACCCATAGTGTTGTACATCACTCATGTGTTTACATAACACCCATAGTGTTGTATATCACTTATGGGTTTATATAACACCCATAGTGTTGTTTATCACTTATGTGTTTATATAACTCCAATATTGATGTATATAACTTATGTGCTTATATAGCACCCATATTGCTGTATATCACTTGTGTGTTTATATAACACCCATATTGATGTATATCACCTATGTGTTTATATAGCACCCATAGGGTTGTATATTACGTATGTGTTTATATAGTACCCATAGTGTTGTATTTCACTTATGTGTTTATATAACCCCCATAGTGTTGTATATCATTTATGTGTTTATATAACACCCATAGTGTTGTTTATCACTTATGTGTTTATATAACTCCAATATTGATGTATATAACTTATGTGCTTATATAGCACCCATATTGCTGTATATTACTTATGTGTTTATATAGCACCCATAGTGTTGTCTATTACGTATGTGTTTATATAGCACCCATATTGCTGTATGTCACTTATGTGTTTATATAACACCCATATTGCTGTATATCACTTATGTGGTTATATAACACCCATATTGTTGATGATGTGTGCCCTGCATGGGGACCAAATTACCCCTTCAGCACATATTTTTTTTTATCATCTATCTGACCAATGGTTGAAATACAAAGCCAGAACTACATACAGAATCTGAGGTCAAGTGTTTTCTTCAAAACGTACACAGTGACAAATTCAACAACAACGGACAAAGCAGAATAGATTATAATTGAAAAAGTACATTTAAGTCAAAAACATATACCTTGTGGTGCTTTTATGCTCTACATATATATATCTGATTTAGCTGGGCTATAAATATGTTCACTGCTACTTACGTCATATCCCATGTCGACCCTTCAGGAACTAAATAAATTGATATGTTCTTGGTGTGCTGCATATAATTTTGTTATTTCTTGTCATAGACTAGAAATGTTTCAAATAGGCTATTTATTTTAAGGATCAAATCTGTACATATCGAAATAACAGTAAAATGGAGCTAGAATCTGCTAACCCATTCCTGCTTCGTTTCATTGATTTTTTACGCGGTTACAACCAGTGCACAACAGCCAATAATTCCATATATAGTGTCATGAAAGAAGAATTCATTAGTTATACGACACAATACAATATTTAAGCAATAAACTACATAGATGTGGCAGACCAACTAGTATAACTGCCACATGTGTCACAGACAAACTTATCATGGTACGCGCTATTTCCCATACAAAATTGAAATGACTCCGCAACTTTCTTTAATAATTCATTTGTTTTTAATTTATATATATATCATATTCTCGATTCATAAATAGTAACAAATAACATTTTGTAAGTAACTAATCAAGTGTCGTAAATTGCGACCTATATCCGGCGCACGCACTCAACGGAAGCCCGCAGTAATCAAGTCCGGCATGTGGTTGATGTTGATCGTGCAACCGGAGAAGGTTGAATTGGTGAAAAATCCAGGCGTAAACTTGTTTGTTGATCGAACAGACACTTGAGACAGGCAGCTGATGTTCGGGATCAAAGCAGAAGATACCGATAAGTTCGGTATTGACACTGTTAAGTCGCTCGGAGGTGCAAAGACCAACTTCAGTTATAGTCTCATACAATAAAGCTGCTATTGGCAGTACTTTAGTAGTAATAAAGAAGGGCTTTGCCACACCAAATGTAAATATATCACAATACAATACAACACAATACAATACCCTACCAACTACATCAGACAACAGTAATTGATAAAATCTACAATAACATAAAACAATGATGACAAGAGGTTTAATCAATTTTGTTAGGTGGTAGTCTGTTGCACGCGTATGACGTCGGCGATCCACTGAACCCTACTATGATATTGAAGACGAGGTTGGCGGGGGTGGAACTATTGGACGTAGAATTCTGTGGCGACCATCTACTGGTGTCGATGGACAACCTGGTGAACAAGGAGAATGGAATGGTGAAGGTTTACAGGAGATACAATACCGTTAAGAAATCTCTGGATCTCGTCCACACAATCACCGGTAAGTATGTCACAATTTGTCTCACAGTGTTTGTATTTCCATCGTTTTTGCCTCTAGCATCAGTGGGGAGTCCAAGGAGCAGGAAACAAATGGATGGTGCAGTGTTATTCATTATGGCATACAGTGTACTTGATATCAATAACATGATGTACTTAACTTTAAAGGTGAAATCACACGTACGTCTCTTTTGTTCATCTTTCACTATAACTTCATTCTTATGGAGGCGCGTTTTGAAATTATAATAAATATTGTTTTATTTTTTTCAACTTTTGAATGCCTTAAGACTTCCTCATTTGGTTCATTATAGGTCTTTGCAAATTTTTGATATCAATATAGTTATGTTTTTATACATCATAAATAGTGAACGTGACTAGATGACACAGTCGTTTTTACTATACCAATATGGTGTTCTATTGTTGTACAGTTGGGTCTTTGCCAGACATGATTCTTCCGACTTCCGACTGTCAAACAGTTGTGGTAGCAGTAGAAGCCGAGGCGTATTATAACGGAACTCATTTCGTCGATCCAGAGGGCGCTGTAGGGATCATCGAGTTCGAGCCACTAAAAGGTGCTGAGAGCGAACTCCAATACACAAGACTCGACTTTAAAAAGTTCAATAAAGAGTAAGTGAGATAGAAGTGAGGAACGTGAATACTGTGGGCTGTCACGGAACATAGTTATTGGTATGGTAAATAGTGTTCTATCCTTTTAGGGTCAAATTGGGCCAACGTTCCGGCGTATCTAGAGAGCGTCAGGCATACCTAGAGAGCGTTATGTAATCATCAACGGTTCGGCATACCTAGAGAGCGTTATGAAATCATCAACGTTCCGGCATACATAGAGAGCGTTATGTAATCGTCAACGTCCCGGCATACCTAGAGAGCGTTATGTAATCATCAACGTCCCAACATACCTAGAGAGCGTTTTGTAATCATCAACGTTCCAGCATACCTAGAGAGCGTTATGTAATCATCAACGGTTCGGCATACCTAGAGAGCGTTATGAAATCATCAACGTTCCGGCATACATAGAGAGCGTTATGTAATCGTCAACGTCTCGGCATACCTAGAGAGCGTTATGTAATCATCAACGTTCCAGCATACCTAGAGAGCGTTGTGTAATCATCAACGTTCCGGGATACCTAGAGAGCGTTATGTAATCCTCAACGTTCCAGCATACCTAGAGAGCGTTGTGTAATCCTCAACGTTCCAGCATACCTAGACAGCGTTGTGTAATCATCAACGTTCCAGCATACCTAGACAGCGTTATGTAATCACCAACGTTCCGGTATACATAGAGAGCGTTATGTAATCATCAACGTTCCGGGATACCTAGAGAGCGTTATGTAATCCTCCACGTTCCAGGATACCTAGAGAGCGTAATGTAATCATCAACGCCCCAGCATACCTAGAGAGCGTTGTGTAATCATCAACGTTCCGGGATACCTAGAGAGCGTTGTGTAATCATCAACGTTCCAGCATACCTAGAGAGCGTTGTGTAATCATCAACGTTCCGGTATACATAGAGAGCGTTGTGTAATCATCAACGTTCCGGGATACCTAGAGAGCGTTATGTAATCCTCAACGTTCCAGCATACCTAGAGAGCGTTGTGTAATCCTCAACGTTCCAGCATACCTAGACAGCGTTGTGTAATCATCAACGTTCCAGCATACCTAGACAGCGTTGTGTATTCATCAACGTTCCGGTTTTCCTAGAGAGCGTTTTGTAATCCTCAACGTCCCAACATACCTAGAGAGCGTTATGTAATCCTCAACGTTCCGGGATACCTAGAGAGCGTTATGTAATCATCAACGTTCCAGGATACCTAGAGAGCGTTTTGTAATCATCAACGTCCCAACATACCTAGACAGCGTTGTGTAATCATCAACGTTCCAGCATACCTAGAGAGCGTTTTGTAATCATCAACGTTCCAGCATACCTAGAGAGCGTTGTGTAATCATCAACGTTCCAGGATACCTAGAGAGCGTTTTGTAATCATCAACGTCCCAACATACCTAGACAGCGTTGTGTAATCATCAACGTTCCAGCATACCTAGAGAGCGTTTTGTAATCATCAACGTTCCAGCATACCTAGAGAGCGTTGTGTAATCATCAACGTTCCGGTATACCTAGAGAGCGTTATGTAATCCTCAACGTTCCAGCATACCTAGAGAGCGTTGTGTAATCCTCAACGTTCCAGCATACCTAGACAGCGTTGTGTAATCATCAACGTTCCAGCATACCTAGAGAGCGTTGTGTATTCATCAACGTTCCGGTTTTCCTAGAGAGCGTTTTGTAATCCTCAACGTCCCAACATACCTAGAGAGCGTTATGTAATCCTCAACGTTCCGGGATACCTAGAGAGCGTTATGTAATCATCAACGTTCCAGGATACCTAGAGAGCGTTTTGTAATCATCAACGTCCCAACATACCTAGACAGCGTTGTGTAATCATCAACGTTCCAGCATACCTAGAGAGCGTTTTGTAATCATCAACGTTCCAGCATACCTAGAGAGCGTTGTGTAATCATCAACGTTCCGGTTTTCCTAGAGAGTTTTGTGTAATCATCAACGTTCCGGTTTTCCTAGAGAGCGTTATGTAATCCTCAACGTTCCGGGATACCTAGAGAACGTTATGTAATCATCAACGTCCCAACATACCTAGAGAGCTTTGTGTAATCATCAACGTCCCAACATACCTAGAGAGCGTTGTGTAATCATCAACGTTCCGGGATACCTAGAGAGCGTTGTGTAATCATCAACGTTCCAGCATACCTAGAGAGCGTTGTGTAATCATCAACGTTCCGGTATACCTAGAGAGCGTTGTGTAATCATCAACGTTCCGGGATACCTAGAGAGCGTTATGTAATCATCAACGTTCCAGCATACCTAGAGAGCGTTGTGTAATCCTCAACGTTCCAGCATACCTAGACAGCGTTGTGTAATCATCAACGTTCCAGCATACCTAGACAGCGTTGTGTATTCATCAACGTTCCGGTTTTCCTAGAGAGCGTTTTGTAATCCTCAACGTCCCAACATACCTAGAGAGCGTTATGTAATCCTCAACGTTCCGGGATACCTAGAGAGCGTTATGTAATCATCAACGTTCCAGGATACCTAGAGAGCGTTTTGTAATCATCAACGTCCCAACATACCTAGACAGCGTTGTGTAATCATCAACGTTCCAGCATACCTAGAGAGCGTTTTGTAATCATCAACGTTCCAGCATACCTAGAGAGCTTTGTGTAATCATCAACGTTACGGTTTTCCTAGAGAGTTTTGTGTAATCATCAACGTTCCGGTTTTCCTAGAGAGCGTTATGTAATCCTCAACGTTCCGGGATACCTAGAGAACGTTATGTAATCATCAACGTCCCAACATACCTAGAGAGCTTTGTGTAATCATCAACGTCCCAACATACCTAGAGAGCGTTGTGTAATCCTCAACGCTCCGGGATACCTAGAGAGCGTTGTGTAATCATCAACGTCCCAGCATACCTAGAGAGCGTTGTGTAATCATCAACGTTCCGGTTTTCCTAGAGAGCGTTGTGTAATCATCCATTTAACAATTTTGAATATAATTAACAAACTGGAACAAAAACAAACACACTATGTCCCCAAGCTATGTTTGGCGGAAACACCAAACTGCAGTCAAAACACAAAAGGGCATAAGTCATCATTATTATTCTTTATTCCTCAAAGTTGAGAGTGTATAATACAAAATTAAGAATAAGAAAATTATGCAATGTACAAATTGTAGTTAATACATATTTGGTTATTGTTCACTGTATCATTGTTCATTGTGGGAGGCTAGTGTGTATTCACCCTTACATTCAATCTGGTAAAGTTTACATTATACTAGGTCTGCAGCGTTGACATATATCTGTGCTGCTTTTCAAAGGAAATAGGCACTGTCTTGCGCAAATTCACAGTACACAATTTTGTTATCAAAATCATGATTGTCTATGGTTCCTTTGAATAGAGCTACTACACGTTCCTCTTCTGCCATATGAGACGATAGCAGTTACGGTTGAACACCATAGTCGTTTATTACGTTCTCCATGAAAGTGTCCCTTAAGATGAATGTCACATTACAGTCCGTGACGAAATGTCTGATTACGTCATGGAAGTGTCCCTTAAGATGAATGTCACATTACAGTCCGTGACGAAATGCCGGATTACGTCATGAAAGTGTCCCTTAAAATGAATGTCACATTACAGTCCGTGACGAAATGCCTGATTACGTCATGGAAGGGTTTCCCGCACTTACTACATATGTTACTATGTTCTATGTGGACAGGTTATCATTTTGCAAATATATAATGTTTCTTTCTTGTCCGTGTTTTGTAACTTTAACAAATTATACGGTTCACTATACGTCAAATGCATATTTTTAAAACGACTAAAATCACAATCACTGTTAATTCTTGCTTTCGGTAGTGTGTTTTCGCGTATATCTATCGCTGCTTTCACGATGTATTTCCACTCGCGTCGTGTTGGAAAGTTTCCATCTTCTGCATATTGACATATATACGATGTTAATTTGTATTTTTGAAGAATGTCAACTATATCTGGCACGAATCCGCCCTGTTTCTTCGACCTTTCATCATGTTCTAAGAATTTGAAGAGTCTACGAATGATGATATCCTTTGATGTACTATTTGGCGAGCTACTAATTAGACACTGTAGAAAGTTTAGTTTCCTTCTTTCAATTTCACTATTTATTCTGTTAATGCCTAGAACCGTTTCACACATATCCGATCTCGAAGATTTCCTCGCATTCAGAATTATTTTTGCTGTGTAATGCTGGAATACATCTGATTGTTGTTTGTCTTTCGCCGTTAGGTTATTCCACATTTCCGACCCATACAATTAATACGGTTGGTAATATTACTTTCTTATAAATGTTTACATATGTTAGCGGTTTAGTGTGTGAACAGTCTGATCCCATACGAGAAATCGCATGTAACATATTTCTCCCTTTTCTACAGGCTTTTTCTACAGCATTTGAACACTTTAGGTCAGATGATACATCAATTCCTAGATGAACCTCGGAGTCCACAGTTTTGATGATATCCCCATTCAATGTCCACGTAATGTTAGCGACACACGTGTTGAACGAAATAATAGAGCATTTCGAAGAGTTAAATGTAAAATTCAACCAAAATCCTGAACTTTACTGAGTTTTTTCGTCAAAGCTAACTGGTACGCGATTAAATGGTCTACACTTGCTTTGATCCATGACGTATGCTTTTCGTGGCTAGTTTCTTTAACCCCGAAGTATGGAATACTGAGGTCTAATGAACAGACTACTGGTAAGTGGTCGGATGCTATTTCAATATCGCCGTCGTCCAATATTCGGTTGTATGTAATGTTCGCAACTGTTGATTGGTCTGTGAATATATAATCTAACGCCGACTGGCATGATCTGAACGTGTAATCCTTGCCAGTTCTTGTAGGTTGACTGTTAAGTACACACACATTAAGATCACGAACAAGAGTTTTCACAGCGTTTGCCTTTTGTCTTATACTAGATAACGTCGGATTGTCCATAATCCTTGCATTGAAATCCCCCGCTATGATAAGTTTTCCTCGTTGATCATAGAACGTTAGTAGATCGTGTAACGTCTGTGACGTTTCACAGTATGCTTTTATGTCGCTATCACTTTGCATGTACACACCAAATATATATATGGGACTGTCCAGCGTTATACCTGTGACTTCAATAGCAACTATGCGTTGATTTGTTATATCGTCCAGTTTCCGAATGCTATATTGCAAAGACTTTTTAATTAGAAAGGCAACTCCTGTTCCCCCGTTCGAGTTTTCGTAACAGTTTGCAAGTATTGCATAGTAGTTTACGTCGATACAGTCTAAATGTTCATGGGATTTGTGGCACAGTTTGTGTTCTGTAATCGCCATAACGTCACAACCGTTTGACGTAGCAGTTTGACAACACATTTGCTCGAGGAGAAAATTCCTCTAACGTTCCATGTCATTACAGTAAGTACCATTACACTCGCGAGAAATACTATCTTATACATACGGAATATCTGCGAGTAGTGGAGTCGGTTCAGGTTTTTTTTATTTCTATCTTAACGCTAGTTAAAGTTGTCACGTTCATCGTTGTAGTTCCAAGAACGGTCATTTCCTCTGTTATATCTGTTATAGTATTCGTGGTTAACGTCATCCCAAGATTTTTTATTACGTATATTGTCATTGCGGTCACATGGCGCCGTCCATCGCGATCTGTTTTCCGTTGGTTGCTGGGACTGAGGTTTCTCTTGCCACTTCCTATTGTTCAGCCAAGTCCTGCATACTATACTGTCTGGCCAGAATCCCGGACTGTCCAGTATGTCGGCGTTGCTAGGTTCAGCATTTATCCTGACCGTGTATGACCCGAATCGTTGCGTGAATATTCGTATGTCTGTTACTTTAACTTGTTTTTTCTTCTAGGTGGGAAGACCTGGTTGCTCGTGGAGCTAGATTTGTGTACAGGAACAATAATAATTCTTTCTCCAATGATGTAGAACCCGAGTTTATCACCTTCAGCAAGGACGAACAGATCGCTTACGTATCATTGCAGGTAAATATTATTTATCATTCTAGTATTAAAAACCTAATTTGAAACCTTAATTGCTTTGGAATATTTCACACAACAATTAGCAAATCAACTTTTCTATTTACTAAATTTAAAGACATTACATAGGAATATGACTATTTTTCAAATGATATGTTAACAAACACGGTTATTATCGATTGGAATGTGTGCAACAATCTCTGATCCGAAGTTATTTCTAAGAAAACATGACAAAATATGTGTCATACACGTGGCGATGCGAGGCTCTACTTGTGTGTATAATTACATGTAAACTATCTTCGTCTAAGGAAAACAACGCCTTTGCTGAAGTGGACATCATCAACAAAGAAATCCTTGCAATCCATCCATTTGGATACAAAAACTGGACGAACTCCAAGTTAGATGCCAGTGACAAAGACCATGGTGAGGAATGTATACTGTACCAAAATAATTCTTATTCGCGACAAAAATAGAAATGCAAACTGATCACGTTATTAACCGGGGGAAAGCAATTGACATTATAGAAATAATAGACACACCAAATGATGGAAACATAGTAGAAAAACATTTGACGTTTTTGTGGATGATCACAATGTTAAAGAAATAATGAACGTATATATAAACAAGTGTCGTTACATGGGAGACATGATAGAATTCCACATATTGTCGTCTACCTTAAGTCGTAATTAACGGACTCCTTGTATTTGACGTGTAGCCATCAACATTCGATCGTGGCCGGTGATGGGGATGTATCTACCCGACTCTATCAAGGCGATCAGTGTGGGGGACAAGTCGTACCTACTGACAGCAAACGAAGGAGACACCAAGGACTATACCAATATCCCCGGGTCTGGAGGCTTTAACGAGGCGACACGAGCGTCAAAACTCACCATTGCCGGTCAGTTTGATTTTAAAGGATATTAGCCGGTCGTTATTTATACTGCATATGTGAGACGAAAATTATCTTCGAGGATGATACGCATACGCATGTACAATGCACAAATCCGTTACCAAAACAAATTCATTAAAGAAAGAAGTAGAAATAAGAAGAAAAATTGAATTGTCATAGAACGGATAGGATTGATTGTTTACGTCTGATAAAACACAAAAAGTGTAACATAATACCAAGCGATGTTTAAACACAAGCAACTTTTAATGTCAAAACATAGCTATATAATGTGTCCCAATACATGAATGGTAGAAATATCGAAGGGGTTTGGTTATAGATAAATTCAATTCGCGAACATGGTAAATATAAAAACAGTTTGATAGTGAATATCTAGACACTTTCTACACTGGTTCCTTTCAATGTTTTATACTACTCTCATCGATTTGTTTTAATAAACCAAATACATTTTATTTCACTTTAGATTCCTCTGATGTTGCCAGATGGGCAGATATGAATGGATTTAACACAACTCTACTAGATAAGGACAATCTTGGTAAGTGCTACTAGTACGTATGTCGTGATTATAACAATAACACTCAATATCTCAAATTGTCCTGGCGGACCTCCCGTTTTCCTTGGTTTGTTTTTATTAATGATATATGTTATACACATGTCAGCGTGAATTGGGTTGGTTAAAAGGTTGGAAGAGGGGACGGGCTACGTCAGTAGGACTGTCCTATCGTTTGTATAACTTTCCTCTAATATAGTTCTCTATTTACTGTGAATTTCCTTGATATTGTTTGTAGTAAACTTTCTCTATACCATTCTGTTCTTTTACTGTGTTAAAAGATTTTTATTAAAACAGATAAATATTTATGATGATAACCATCACTTATGGTATGATATGCAACTATATTTACATTCTGTATGCTTAGACCCATTGACAAAAATTACATTCATAAATGCATAACACAGGTGTTCATAGAATCTCAGCAGGTTGGAACTGATAGTAACCTGACCACACTGCGTAGTAATACACTACAAAAACTACTCACTCGGAACGACCGACCTAGATGCTTAATTCTTACATCTTAAAATATTATTGAACTGTGCTTTGTGAAATATCCACGTATTCACGTGTCCTGTGGTACAAATAAACATTGAATAAGGAACTACATTTTGTTGTGTTATTGTTGTTGACGGTTGCTAAGATCTCTCACGATAGTGTCACATTTCCCTGCGAAAAAACACTGTTCTCGCCACTGCGTTGCACCCGTATATAAGCAGGAACAAACCCTGTTTATTTGTTTTCTTCGTTGTTATATCGATCCACTGAAAGGATTCGTCAATGTAAATATACGCGATTCATTCAATATGTCCATAAACTCATTGTTGTTGTGACCTCATAAATGTTGAAAAAATAAAAATCATTCCTTAAATAATTGACCAGTGTTTCTAGTCATTATATTTTCACTTTCATTTGACTTTTTAGATTAGAGTTGAATCCGTAATAAAACTAACTTGAATCCGTAATAAAACTAACTTGAAAATAAGAACATTTTGACAGTTGCATTCTAGAAATATTTTGTTTGACACGAATTTCACGATTTTTATTTTGAGTACTCTGCGCATGCGCATGTAGATATCCGTCTCTACTTAATAGGACGCCTGATGGTCAGTAACCTTGAAGGTAAGGTCGGCGACGCCTATAATGCACTGTACGCATTTGGAGGAAGAAGTATGTCTATTTTTGACCTCAGCACATTTGACCTCGTATACGACACCGGAAGTGACGTGGAAGAACTGATGGCACAGCAAGAACCAGAGATGTTTAATGCTGACGGAAAACTGAAAAATGACGTGGTTTCATCAACAAAAGATACACGATCTGATAACAAGGTGTTTATGTCGTACTTTTCTTATAAAACTCGTGTACATAAGTGATTTTCTATAGATATCAATGACCTATAAATATCAATAGTATAAATAAGGAACAGAGTCGTGCCCCCTTCAATTCCAAGATGACGAAATCGAATTCTTCTTAATGGTTGTAAATATCAGGTAGATACTCCTGTAAGCATCTCGATCTGCAATAGTCAGATAACAACTAAACATGAAAACTGTTTGACCACTTCATCAAAAACATTCTGAACAAAACAATTTTAAATACGATTTTTGACAGGGGCCCGAGGTTGAGGGTATTGAAGCCGCGCAGATCGGTTCGTCAGTGGTCATCTTTCTGGGGATAGAGAGGCCTGGGCTTATTGCGGTCTACTCAATATCTGATGACGTCAGCAGTTTGAAATTCGAGAGCCTGTGGACCGGTATAACAAAAACTGATGACACCTTCGGTAATCTGTACGGGCAGCGCGCCATCAGCGGAGTAGATCCCGAGGATCTCAGGTAGTTAAGGCAGGGTGATTCCTGACTTCGCCAAATCATGATGATTTTTCACTAAATATCCATGCTCTACCTTAGCGTTGTCTACCTTGATGTCTTGATTGGTGTTTCTTCGTAACTGAAACAACAATCATGATATAAGGAATACATTTAGCTACAACATGAAAACGGAAATTTTCAAATTTGACACAAAGATTAACAGAATTGTATTGCTTTGGAACACAAAGAATAATTTGTACCTCATAGCATAATGAATTCAATTTAATTAGTTGTAAATAGTAACAAGGTACGATTAGATACGTAAGTAAAACAATTTGTTTATACTGTTTTACAGGTATATCCCTCCACAGGACAGCCCAAACGGCCAACCCCTACTACTGTGCACAGGGACAGTCAGTGGTACGGTGTCCTTGCTCGAAGTTAGGGGTGTGAATAAGGTTGGAATCCATATACCGGACACAGACGGCCATATACAGGACACAGACGGCCATATACCCGACACAGACGGCAAGCCGGTGTTTGGTTGAATATTGAGCTTTGAGGGACAATAACTGGCACTTCCCATAATTTGTTTGCAGTGTACAACAAATGGCTGCTTGTGTGTATTGCTTCAGATGCATAAGCTAAAATATCGTCTTTTTTTAAATGAAACTATTTATTGTTAATGATAGTTTCACAATGGTTCCGTCCAATGCAATGACTAGCGAATGAGTACCTATGTTCTGTCATATTCTAGACTAGTACTGTATGGGTTAGTCGGATGGCGCAATGGATAGTGATATAGCCTTTTACCAAGACTGCCGGGGTTCCCCGTTCGGATGTGAAAAGGTATTGGATTGGATCACTTGCCTTACCATGCGGGCTTTTATCCGGCAACTCCGACTTTCTCTTACAATAAGACCATTTGCACGCTTCCATCCGTTGATTTATATGAGTTTGAAAAACTTTGTTTTATAATTGTTGTAAACTACATAAATAATGTATTCATATTAAATATTGTATTTGAAATTATCTATTTAGTGTCTATGCTACATGTTGCCATACAGTGTACGCCAATATCCTGCCAACATTTGATTTCATGAACGTTTCCGAACCGTACTAACGTATATTGTATAGTAATTCAATTCAGAAGGTATGAAAGACCGTGGAATTGTACTGGAGAAGATAATATTTCGCTTGTTGTCTTGATGGTGTCAAGTTAGTTTACTTCACATTTCGAAATTGTTGCAATGAAATCAAATTAGCGATTTGCATTGCATTCACGGAAGCCTTGGTGAATACCTGGTGATGCATTATAATACTGAGCTGCCACTAAATGTTATGAAATCTACTTATTCATATCTGAACTTTTTTTATAAAATCACAACTAATGGCATTGTTAAAATGTTAATTCTATTTTCCTATCAATAAAACATTCGTTACTTATTTTTCTTTATTATTTTTGTTGATGAAATAAGCTGAAATAAATTGTCTTTTGATATTTCCGTTTCTTTACCAGAGAACGTACATATACTGTATCTAGTTGCTTACCCAGGAACATACTTATTTAATCCTTAGTGCCATAATATACATTTATAGATTTGCGAACCAGAATAGAAAGTGATGAAGATTCTTCCCCAAATGTAATGCAATACGAAAGACTAACATAGTATTTTTTTACTGCACCATATTACCCACACGTGCTAGACACATTCATATCATCGGTATATACTATATAAATGAAACATAACATATTACCCACACGTGCTGCACACATTCATATCATCTGTATATACTATATAATACCATATAAATGAAACACACCATATAACCCACACGTGCTGGACACATTCATACTGTATGTATATTCTGCATGTATATAAATGAAACACACCATATTGCCCACACGTGCTGAACACACTCATATCGTCTGTATATTACCCACACGTGCTGGACACGCTCATATGATCCGTATATACTACATAGATGAAACACACCCTATTACCCACACGTGCTGGACACACTCATACCGTCTGTATATACTATATAAATGAAATACACCATATTACCCACACGTGTTGGACACATTCATACCGTCCGTATATTCTATATAAATGAAACAAACCATATTAACCACACGTGCTGGCCACACTCATATCGTCTGTATATATTATGTAAATGAAACACACCATATTACCCATACGTGCTGGACACATTCATACCGCCTGTATATTCTATATAAATGAAACACACCATATTACACACACGTGCTGGACACACTCATATCGCCTGTATATTCTATATAAATGAAACACACCATATTACACACACGTGCTGGACACACTCATATCGTCTGTATATTACCCACACGTGCTGGACACACTCATATGATCCGTATATACTACATAGATGAAACACACCATATTACCCACACGTGCTGGACACAATCATACCGTCTGTATATTCTATATAAATGAAACACACCATATTATCCACACGTGCTGGACACACTCATACTGTCTGTATATACTACATGTATATAAATGAAACACACCATATTACACACACGTGCTGGACACACTCATATCGTCTGTATATACTATATAAATGAATACACAATATGTCACACACGTGCTGGACACACTCCTATCGTCTGTATATACTATATATATGAAACACACCATATTACAAACACGTGCTGGACACACTCATATCGCCTGTATATTCTATATAAATGAAACACACCATATTAATACCCACACGTGCCGGACACACTCATATCGTCTGTATATATTATATAAATGAAACACACCATATTACCCACACGTGCTGGACACACTCATATCGCCTGTATATTCTATATAAATGAAACACACCATATTACCCACACGTGCTGGACACATTCATATTATCTGTATAAACTATATAAATGAAATACACCATATTACCCACACGTGTTGGACACATTCATACCGTCCGTATATTCTATATAAATGAAACACACCATATTAATACCCACACGTGCCAGACACACTCATATCGTCTGTATATACCATATAAATGAAACACACCATATAACCCACACGTGCTGGACACATTCATACTGTCTGTATATACTACATGTATATAAATGAAACACACCATATTACACACACGTGCTGGACACACTCATATCGTCTGTATATACTATATAAATGAATACACAATATGTCACACACGTGCTGGACACACTCCTATCGTCTGTATATACTATATAAATGAAACACACCATATTACAAACACGTGCTGGACACATTCATACCGTCTGTATATTCTATATAAATGAAACAAACTATATTACCCACACGTGCTGGACACACTCATATCGTCTGTATATACTATATAAATGAAACACACCATATTACCCACACGTGCTGAACACACTCATATCGTCTGTATATATTATGTAAATGAAACACACCATATTACCCACACGTGCTGAACACACTCATATCGTCTGTATATTACCCACACGTGCTGGACAAACTCATATGATCCGTATATACTACATAAATGAAACACACCATATTACCCATACGTGCTGGACACATTCATACCGTCTGTATATTCTATATAAATGAAACACACCATATTAATACCCACACATGCCGGACACACTCATATCGTCTATATATATTATATAAATGAAACACACCATATTACCCACACGTGCTGAACACACTCATACCGTCTGTATATACTATATAAATGAAACACAACATATTACCAACACGTGCTGGACACACTCATATGATCTGTATATACTATATAAATGAAACACACCATATTACCCATACGTGCTGGACACACTCATACCGTTTGTATATACTATATAAATGAAACACACCATATTATCCACACGTGCTGAACACACTCATATCGTCGGTATATACTATATAAATGAAACACACCATATTACCCATACGTGCTGGACACACTCATCCCGTCTGTCTATACTATATAAATGAAACACACCATATTACCCATACGTGCTGGACACACTCATATCGCCTGTATATACTATATAAATGAAACACACCATATTACCCACACGTGTTGGACACACTCATACCGTCTGTATATACTATATAAATGAAACACACCATATTACCCACACGTGCTGGACACATTCATATCATCTGTATATATATATATAAATATAACACACCATATTACCCACAAATGCTGGACACATTCATACCGTCTGTATATTCTATATAAATGAAACACACCATATTAATACCCACACGTGCCGGACACATTCATATCGTCTGTATATACTATATAAATGAAACACACCATATTATCCACACGTGCTGGACACACTCATATCGTCTGTATATATTATATAAATGAAACACACCATATTACCCACACGTGCTGGACACATTCATATCATCTGTATAAACTATATAAATGAAATACACCATATTACCCATACGTGTTGGACACACTCATACCGTCTGTATATTCTATATAAATGAAACACACCATATTAATACCCACACGTACCGGACACATTCATATCGTCTGTATATACTATATAAATGAAA